TGCACACACACACACACGTAGCCGCTTTTTTCATACGTACAATCATTCATACATACGCATCACAGAGTGATATATGCATGTATCATATATACATCACAGAATGTAGAATATCACACACACACACAGAGTTCGTTTCTGAGTTGATGATCTATCGAGATTCTGACATGCTTGGTTACTTGCGTCGTGAAACGTCTGTCTGAAATTGAGTCAAGGAAGTACGTGCTGGACAACCATCAGTTTACCAGCAAAGCACGGAGATTCCTGGAATCAAAGCTGGGCGCAAAGTCAGCCAGTCCCTGGCCTGCAAAGACGACAAAAATTTAGGACGCAGGCTAAGGCCCACCCGGCTCTCGTTCGGGAGATCCTCATGAATTTCTGACCTTGAGGTTCCTGAATCTTGGACCGATAGGTAAGGTTGCGAGGGATGAACCCCGATCCATCTCGATCGTACAATCGAGACTTTGAACAGAGGGTACTGTATGGGTCCGGCTACTTACCATGGTTTGGTTTGTTGGTCCGTTTGTTTGCTCGTTTGCTCGTTTTTCTGTTTGCTTGCTTGTTGGTTCGTTTGTTCGTTCAGTTTTCGCCTGTGTGTTTGTTTGCGAGGATTGGTTTGGGTGTGGTTGCGGGCAGATCTACTTGACAAGGTCGTTTCGCATCTCGGGCACTGCATGAGCTGCTTTCTTAAACTGCTCTCCGAGCCCTTCAAAGAGCACCTCATGAAACCGACATCTACAGACTGTGTTGGCGAAGTTGGACGATTTGCCTTCCCCAGTAGGTTATAGCAGTATAGCAGCATGTCACCGCAGTCTTCTCGCCTGAATGAACTCGAGTAATTTGCGCTTCAAGCCAGGGTAGCCAGCTATTCAGTGTCTATCCTGGAAGGCTTGTATTACAAGACCATCGCCCGGGTGCAATACGACCGCCAACTTCTGGACAAAGCGGAGCAGTTTGCCAGCAGTGGCAACATCTCTTACGAGGAGGCGCTGCGACTCGTGCCGCTTGTTTATTGTTTGTTCTGGGAAGGCAGTCACCCCGCGCCTGGATGTCACGCAATGATCGCTCCAATCGATATGCCCTCATAGCTACTTATGCTTTTCTATGGATTGGCCTTGGCTAAATCCTATTTCGTTGCTGTCCTTGTCCTCGTCCTTGTGCATTACATGTCGCAGGTGTCGTAGCAGGAACAGGGCGCTAAACCCCAAACACGTCGCCATGCAGAGACTCCTTGAAGGCCCTGAGCCGAGAAGCTTCAAAGGCTTCTGGATTCCAAAAAGGCTGAGGTTTGCTTCGACCAGCAAAGATGACGTGGGTTTTCCCCGGCTTTTGCTGGGCTTGCTTTGCAATTGCCGGCAGGCCATCGAACTCTGGGAAGCAGTCCAGGATGGTTCTGAAACCACGGACTGCGAGATTCGAACCCTTCAGACGCTGAGCTTCAAGACAGATCGTACTTGTTTGAAGTGTATAGTACAGTAGTATACATAGTATAGTATCGTGTTGCATTGTATTGTATTGTAAAGCATGTGCTGTACAATATGTATCGTATAGTATGTAATTATGTAGTAGGGATTATCAACTAGGTGTTGTGTAGTATGCAACGTACAGTATGCATGTATGGATGGATGGATGCACGGACGGATAGACGGATGGATAGATTGATGTGTGTGTGTGTGCACATATAGCATACATATATATATATATATATATGTATATATATATACACGCACACACACACACACATATTATCATTTCCACATACCCACATGTGCAATGCATACATGTATGCATGTAATGCATATGTGCACACACATAATCACATAGTTATAAACACACATACTCGTACATACTCCAGAGCTCGGACTTGCTGATGTGAACCTTCGGCGGTGAACTTGAGATGAGGTACATCATCGATAACTTGTCGATCAGCCAGAAGGCTCAGGAGTACTTGGAAGAGCGGCCACCGGGATGCACTGAATCTTCAGCTACGAAGACCTGGGGTGGGTTTGCCCGCAATGGCATGCTGTTGGATTCTCGGTGGTTGGCTTGTTTGCAGTGGATCAGGTTAGCTCCTCGATCATCGCTTGCAGCAGCAGCAGAGCTCTCCACGCCAAAGCGTGCCCAGCCTCCCAGTCCGGTAGATGTGCCCTCTGCATCACCAGCTCCACGCCAAGCCTCCAAAGCCACGTCGCCAGCGACGCCCCGTGGGCGGGGCTTTGGCCGAGCCTCTCCGAAAACGACACCACGCGGTCGTGGGCGAAGTGCAACGCCCAAGGCTTCACCCAAGGCGAAGGCACCCTCCACTCCAGTGCGAGCGAGCACTGCATCAGCAGCGGTGCAGACGACACCTGCGCTGACAAGATCCCAGGGTCAGGCTGCCAAGGCCACGCCGAAGGCCACGCCCAAGGCTACGCCCAAGAGCGCTGCGAAGTCTGCGACACAGGCTGAAGAGGCCGAAGATGAGCCTGAGCCGACGGAGTCCGCGCCGGCAGAGCCGGCTACGCCAAGATCTGCTCGTTCCAGATCGCCGGCAATAGGTACCCAATCGAAGGCCACGCCACCTAAGCCCACCCCTCCCAAAGCCTCACCCCAGAAGGCCAGCCCGAAGGCGACGCCGAAGCCCGAACCCCCAACACCTCAAGCGACTCCGAAAGCTGCTCCCAAGGAGTCGCCCAAAGAAAGCCCTGTTCAGGACAAGGCGTCGCCACCGGCCGTCCCAAACGGCCCAGGCCCAAGCCCAGCACCTCCAGAACCTCCACTTCGCGAGGCGCCTCGAGCGCACGAGCCCTCTACGCCGCAGGCGAAGGTGAGAAAGCAAAGCAGCCCACCGCCGAAAGCAGTTCCGGAGGCAGGGCAGGTGCCTGCAGGCGCAAGCGAGAAACCTGTCCACGTTCCTTGTATCTGCAGGCTGGCAAAGCAGCACCATCAGAGCTGGAGGCGGCTTGATGAAAGCCTAACCTATCAAAGCGGCATTGAACTGCAATATTTCCATAACGTTACAGGCTTCAGAGAATTTTGTTCAGATCTCGAAGTCTGTACAGTTCGCCTTTTGCAAGATGCGCTGTTAAGCTGCTCTGCTATACCCATCAAGCCCGAGCAGATGTTTGTCAAAGAAGTGTGAAGGCGGCAGAAGAGGCTGTGAGAGCGTGCCGGGCCCGTGAGAGGGACTCACAGGAGGCCGTGCAGGCCGTTTGCTTGGGCTTCGGTAGGCAATTTGTTTTTTAATCGATTGGGGGCTGGTTGGCAGGCCTAACGTGCTTCAAAAGGGGTCTTTTTTTGGTGTGTGTGTGAGAGAGAGAGAGAGAGAGACAGTGGCTGGAGATACCAGAAAGTGTGTTTCTCACCAGACTTGTGTCAGAGTATCTCGAATCTCGAGCGCAGGATTTTATCGTGAGTATTTCACACAGCGAGGGCTCGGAATATGAAATGATAGCCATGATCGTATGTTCTTGCAGCAGCTCCGACTTCGGAGTCAGCTCGAGACTTGGACTTTAGGATTTTGCTCTGTTCGCATGTTGAGAATTGTGTTTCCTTGGATTGATTGTGCGGCAGTCTGCATGGTGTGCCGTTGAAACGAAGGTCAGAGAGACATGCTTGGTGCAACAGAACGGAACCTATCAAGAGCCCAAGCAGTTCCCTCAACATCCCCTTGCGAAGTTCCAATGAGACGAAGGTGTCTGACCCGACCGAGGCATTCGACAAAGTCAGAATTCAGTTTTATTAGTAACTAGTAATTAATCGGGTCACAGGTTCTACTCGTGCGCAGCCGCATTTGACGATGACGCTTCATGTGCCGCGAGCCCCACATGACACGCACATGCTCCATGAATTTCATTGGCTTTCCCGGGCTCCGCAGCACCTGGAAAGAGCTTCGAAGCAGGCAGCCAAGGAGGCCTCTCTTCGTGCGAAAGCACTGGAAGAGGCCCCGGGTGGATGAAATGTGGCCGAGTGATAGCGCTGTTTCGCTTACCTTTTCATAGCTTAGTAAGTGAGGGGAGGATGGGGCTCATGCATTCTGCCGATTCTGTGATGTTTCCTTCCCTCCCTCCCTCCCTCCCTCCCTCCCTTCCTGTGCTGTCTTCGCGATCTCGCACGTTGTACGTGCTGATGTAACATACCGTTTCTGTAGGCTTGGGATCTTGGTGAAACAGTGATCAGCCTCGGGCAGCTTGTGCCATCGCTCGTCGTTGCCAATGCAAGTTTCAATGACTGTGCGTAGCGCTTTCTTACAGTCTGTGAAATGTTTGTGAGTACAACGGGATCATAAGCATGAGATCGAGTGACATTGACCAGGAAATTCGGAAGCTGGTCCAAGGCACGGAAAATGCCAAGGCATGTGCGCAGAAGGCTCGGGGCTAGGTTCATTTTCGAAAAAAGACTTGCAGGTTCAGTTGCAACTCCCTAGGTGAGCTTCGACTTGGCTGCTTCCAAGGTGCAGACCCATCCATCCATCCATCCATCCATCCATCCATCCATCCATCCATCCATCCATCCATCCGTGCGTCCATCCATGCATTCATCCATCCCTCCGTCCATCCATCCCTCCGTCCATCCATCCATCCATCCATCCATCCATCCATCCATCCATGCATGCATGCATGCATACACACATACATACCCACATACATACATACATACATACATACATACATACATACCTACCTACATACACATGCATACATACATACATACATACGTACATACATACACACATACATACGTATATACATACAGAGAGACAGACAGTCAGATAGACAGACATACAACTACTATTAGGCTGCATAGGCATGTATCTCTCTCCCGCTCTCTCTGTCTCGAAGGCCCTTACATTACTTCGCCGTGAACCCGTGAACCCCTAAACTTTAGACCTCCTAAGCCCTGTAAAGGGCAACACGCCTCACACCACAAAAAAACGCCTGAAAAAACCCTGCAGCAGCTTTAAACATCCTAAGAACGAAAAAGGCAGATATTCTACAAACATGTTCTTCGTCTTTGAGAGAAGCCGCGCTGAGCCGTGGTGGCGGCGGTTGGGAGGGAAGCGACGAATCAGGCTCCCGGCGATTCATACAAACGGAACCTGTGGGTTCAGTCGAGGGTTTGCTGTGTAAGGGCTTTCGGCTTATTCTGCAACAGGTGTTGTGGGGTGTTCATTGAACTAGGGCTTCTCTTTTCGGCGGCCTGTGCCCTTCTTTGATCGCGGGTAGTAGTCGTCGTCGCAGTTGTGATAGTGGCACACCAAAGAAAGCAACGCAGCACGCATTCTCATGTTTATTGCGGTGTCTTCGCATCCTTCTACTGCTGGTGTGCATTGTATGACGACGACCACTAGTTAACTTGTAAAGCCCAAGCTCATGCTCCCTGAGCATTATAATCTGAATGAATGAACCAGCGACCCATCGTTAAACCCTCCGCCCCGAACTCTGAATTTCAAACCAGCGTGGCCCCCAGACAAACTCAATTAGTGGGCACTTGGAAACCTAACCATGCACTTTGAACACCGAACCGATACAACCCCAAGAGAGCCCTCTGTGGTCCCATGAAATCTACCCAGCAGTCCCCAAAGCGTTTAAAGCCTTTAGGGCTTGAATGCAGTCGCAGGTGCCGAAGGGTCCTCGCAGCCCAATGGCGCCGTCAAATCCTGGAAAGCTAGGGCCTTATGGACTTCAGGCTTGGTGCACAGCCGTGGCTAATGATGAAAATGAATAGCTCCGCCTGTTTTTCCAAAACGGATCCTTACGGGCAAGGGACTCAGCAACCAAGGGACTAAATGAGGCTCTAAGGTTTCGGATTCAGGGCGGGAGACTTCGGAGGCCGTGCCCACACATGCCCAAACCCCGGAGAATGAGCAGAAGAAGCCCATGAGAAGATCCATGGATGGTCCCATCAGGGGACTCTGTATGGCCACAACTCGCATCGCACACACCAGTTTAAGCCTGAGGTTATGGCATGAACACTGCAGCTTGAACCCGAAACTGCAAATCTGCATTGCCTCTTACCACACTCACAAACGTGCGAAGTTTCAAAAGGTTGGTCTTCGGTAGCGGGTATGAATGGCTTTGGACCTCTTGGAAAAGCTTAGACAGGCATTGAATCTTGGCTTAGTTTCCGCCCAGATCCTAAACTGAGGTCTTAAGGTTTAGGAGGTGTAGCGGTGGAGGATTCTTGGTGGAGGGATGCGAGTTCAAGCTTCATGACGAAGGCTTTCGCTTGAGAGCCTTGAGGGGATGTCAGGCTTAAGCTGGTGGGCCAAAGGAGAGTCTTGGACCGAGGATCCAGCAGAATTTCAGGGCTCTTCGTTCTAGAACTTCACGTAAGTTGCCATAACAAGGACGAGCGCATGTTAAATGGCGTATTATCTACATGTACCCGTAAGATGCAAACTTCAGTTCTACTCCCTTAAGACCTGATTGAACAACAAAAACAAACCATAAAACAGGAGAATCTGGGCTCCACCTTCGTAGTGGGAGGCGTGGTCTGAAGCTGCCAGGATCTCCCCACAAAGGTAGCAAAAGTAGGTCTCCCCCTTGCCTCGGAGATGGTGTGGAAAACCCCCAAACCTTTCACAAACCTCCCAGTCCCCCCAGTCCTAAACCGCAGACTCGAAGCCCTCAAACCTATCATCTCTACCAAATGCCAGACTGACTACTAGACCCTGAAGCTGAAACCTAATCCAATGCTCTGCTTCTCCGCTGTTGGACGTAACTCTACTCCTCTAAAGAGGCATGCAAAAGCCCAGTTTGACGGACATCCCTGCCAGTCAAGCCTGACAACTGTCCTAAGGCGCCAGCTTCACAGCCGCTTGATGGTGGAAGGTTTAGAAAGTTTAGGGGGCTGTTCATGGGTAAACTGTTTTGGGGACTGGGGTTTCTGGCTTTGGGGGTCTCTTATGGGATTATGCGGATTAGGGTTGACGGTGCAGACGGTGCAGGTTTACAGTTTAGGGATTTAGGGTGCGCACTGTAAGTTATGGGAGTTGTACTACACTCCTAGTGACGAGCAAAGGCAATCTTGGGTACTTCAGCAGTATTTCCTGTAGGGCCTAGAAGACATGAACTCGAGCAGGAATCCGTACGACCACTCTCGGAAAGAACTTGTCCGACTGCTCAAAAACCTTTCCGCAAATGCCGGTGGGTGGCGCGTAGAGCAGTATAGCCCCGCAGACTCAAATGCACGATGGCTATGTCCAGACTGCATAATGTGCGAGCAGCATATTCTGAGTGAAACCTCAACTCTGAGGCTCCGAGGCTCGAAGTACAGTGGCATCTTTGCCGTCCAAAAAAGCCTGCCCTGAACCAACTTAGCTGGGCGTCACTGCTCGGAAGGGCACGTCATGAAGTTGCAGCCGGACTCTCTCTCGCAGAGATGCCGGCATACTGGGCATCTCTTCCAATCTTGGTGGATGGGGTGCTCGAATATGGCATCTGGGTCTATGCTCCATGGTCTACGGAGCTTGGGGCTTCCGAGTCGTTTTGGCTGAGGATTTCGGGTTGAGGCTGTTCCGGTGCTTAGCAGTTGGCGACTTGGGGTCTAGTTTCGGGGTGGCTTGGAGGTGCGAGGAGATCGAGGGTACATCTAATGATACTTTAACGAATCCCCAAGCATTGCTAGATGAGGCATACGGTTGCGGGACAGGTTCGTCTATAAGCACCGTACATATTTCCAGCCAGTGCAGGAGGGCGTGGCATTCTGCGGTTGGGGGGGGGAAAGGGTCCGATGGTATGTTCTACTTCGGCTGCCGATCTAGTTGTAGATAGGAGTCGGCAGCCTTTCACCCCCCAAACCACTCATGCAGGATTCAAGCCGAGCGTCCATCGATGTTCGGATTAATGCCTTGCGAATCGATAGGGATCCTGCAGACCTATGGTTCCACCATTTTCAGGTATGTCAAGTCAAGGTAAGCTGCGAGCTGTGACTATGTGCCTTTCTATTGGTACCTAGCCACAGTTATTATTCTAACATATTCGATTCTAGTCTAACTGAAACTGCGAAAGATTCTGACGGCCCCCCCCCCCCCGCCCCGACCCCCCTAATCCCCCCCCCCACACTAAACCCACAACAGAAGGCTCATCCTGAAGCACAACCTTGAACTCTACAGCCCCTCAACCAAAAAATCCACCACATCACAGCAGTCTCCCCCTTCTGCTCCGGATGAGGCCCGAGAAGCTTTGCTGAGCAATGAGCCGCCTCAACCTCGGCATACGAGCTGGGCCCCTATATAGTCCATAGCAGAGCATCGCGTTCGCTAAACTGTTGCGTGGCCTCCGCTGCATCTCTGATAAAAAAGTCCTGCATAGCAATCATGAATAATGCCATGTCATAGTCCGATTTTCGCAGGGAACCAGATGTATCATAGACTCCAGAACCCTCGCCAAAGTTAGCTCGAGAATCCTCCATCAACCCTGCAAAACTTGATTTAAACATCCACGGAATCTACAGACTAGGTTTGGCTTCAAGTTCGGGCCCAGAGATTTGTGGATCCTCATTCTTGGAAGAGGCTCAAAAGCCTAGACCCATACAGCTCCAAGCCCCATGATGCCACCGAAACCGAAACTCCCAAAACCAAGCCCAAAGACGCCCGTACAAAGCCGAGGGCCGAGTTGGACCCGAAACCCTGGTCTCAGGGCTTCCAGCTTCATCCGCAACAAATTGGGGGGCGCTTCTCTTCAGAATCGGGGGGCAGGCTTTGCTGAAAATTTTGCAGGCACTGACTGAAACTGGCGCGCACTTGTTTAGGCTATGGGCTTACATATTTACTCGTCTGGACGTTTAAACTTTCGTTATTGTTTTCGGGATTGAGGTGGCAGTTTTGTCTGGAGGTTCATGGGTACCGCAAGTGTCACAAGTAAGTGTAGTTGTAGAGCCCTACATAGTGGGAGACTACCATGAACTTTCAAGCAGGGTTAAGATCGGTTTACAACCCCTAAGCATTACGATGATCACAGAGAGGGGCTACTCCATGCCGACAACTGCAGGGATCCACATCGTCATAACAGGGCCAGTCATCCTTTTGATAATCGCGAAACCTTCGAAACCAAAATCCGAAGCGCAAGGTGCCTTACAGGAAACCTGAAGTTCGAGCAGCCCAACTTACTCTGCAATCAGGCGGCGCGGGATCCATCCTCTGCATCTCTGCATCCTCGCAGCTGCCCGCATGAGCCGGTTGTGCACATGCAGCACCTTTCGGTGAATTTTCCGAGCCTTATAAGGGTTTATACAATCAGTTTTTAAGGCTTTGTGATCTCCGGGTTCCTTGTTTTGTTTAAGTGCAAGTCCAATTATGATCTCCGGGTTCAGGATCTGAGGGCTGGGGATCCAGATCTAATGTCGGTTTAGGGTTTTGGACTTGGACTCCGAAACAGCATCACAGCAACCATGCGACTTCTACTGCTACTAGTCGCTGAGGATACCACTGACCGTAATTGTGGTCGCCGTTTGTGTGAACCTGGGGAAACCTTAAGCCCCAGCTCCTCCACCCAAAACCCCAGCCCTTACCGTACATCCTGAAGTGCACTGATTTCGTCCTGTCCCGGGTGTGATCAACATAGGATGTAACAAATCTCAACCGCAAACCTCTGTCCACTTGTTGAATGAGCATTTGGGCTTAAGCCAGGTTCAATTCATCGGGCCCCCAAATCAAGTACTTGGAGGATTATACCTCGCAACCCAACCGTATACTGGCCCTTTATGAAGTCTACATAAATGCAATGGAACTGATAGAATTAGAAAACACTCCCAGCTCCCAGAGATAGATTTGATTAACCTTAGCTTGAGTAACCTTGAAAAGCCCCGCAACGCTAACACTTGGCTTTGCACAGAATCGCTGGGAACACTGAGGACAGCTGACCTGAGCATGCTCGAATTTAAGAGTCTAGCTTCAAGGTTTTTCGCTTTTGGCACCTGGGGTTTGGAGCTTCGGGTTTAGTGGCTTCAGGCTCGGTTAGCATTCAGGGGTTTTGGCTTACGGCTTCAAGCTGGGACAAAGACATCAAAGTCAAGGGAGGAACCAGAGACTTAGGAGTTGTCTCTGACTCTAATCCCTACGAAGTTTCGAAACGAAACGCTCAGCTTTAAACACACGGCGTTTATGGCCGTCGAAATAATATCAGAATAATCTGACAGCGTTTCAGCCACCAAGACCAACGCGCTCAAAAGGCGTCCGGAACTGGATTCGGCCTGAAGACCCAAGCCGTCTCGAAGTCCAGGCGGCTGCTGTGAAGTTTCGTTCATGTCTGACTGCCAGACTTGAAGTGTACACTAAGCCCTGAACCCGTAACCAAGAGGCAAGAGTACCAAGCAAACGCGTCTGCACATCATTGAGTTTTGGATCTCGGGTCATACTGCCGATGTAAGAAGTCTTGCACGACAATTAAAAACCCTAAACTACCGGAAATATGCGGACTGGACTAATCTGGAGTTGTCGTGCTTCGCTAGCATTGTGCCCCCGATTGGGGGTTCGCTCAAGTCGAAGTCGTGAGGCTTCGGTGGCTACCCTGCACGGGTGCAAGCAAGAGTCATCGGCTCTCTCTTGGACCAGCGAGAGTGGCACCAGGACTTTGATACCTCGGACAAACCAACGAGATCAGCAACCTACTCTGCTTTGATATGACTTGACAGGGGAAGACACGTCTACGACTATAGCATAACGGCAATGCATCGCCTCAGAGGGAGGCTGCTACCACCCCCACATGCTTGTCCACCTCCCTGACGGAATGAAAGGCAATCCATGTGAGGCTCTTCGCGTTTTTGCCGCCCCGCATATTAAATTTCCCCGACTGTGCACAAAACCCACAACTCCCAGAGAGAGCAAGTAATAGCCTCCTAGGCCGATGGGCTGAATGAAGGGTTTCGGGCCTCGCAGTGGCCGAACAGAGCCACATTGGCAACGTGAGCTGCGACGAGCAAAGGTCAATAAAGCCCTGAGCTTGTCACAGTTTCATGGCTGCCCACACGTTTTGCTTGAAGGTGCACGGTTTATTACAGGTAGGTCGAATGTTTGCATAATTATCCTACCTACAATCCGACATTTAAGCACCGGTGAACCTAGTACAGTTCCTGCACGAAGAAAGGGGCCAGGAATCCTGGCAAATAGGATCCTCACTCCAAGGATCTCCAAGAGAAGCACCCCCAAATCTCAAGACATCCCGCATGCTGTAAAAATCGAGATGCATCCCGGGCTAGGGCAATTCACGAGCCGTTCGTCATCGCCAGGTTCAGGCTCGAATCGCTGCGCCTGCACGGCACTACTTACCTGAAAGGGTAACTTGCGCGTCGTGATAGATGAAGCAGCTTTAGCGGAAACATGAATTTTCGAGTAGGTGACGTAGCATGGTGCAGATTTGCAGTATGTGCAGATGTGCTGACAGTAGACTTTATCCGACTTGGACACGGGGCCCCAGCATCAAGAACTTGTAAGGCGCTATAGCGAATTCAGGCATCCTTTGGGAGCCTCGATGGCAAATCATGATGTTCTTCTGAAGACTTTGCCATACCCGCCCAAAGCGAGACGTGTCTAGGCTTCACAGACGCACGTAGTTACACGGTCTGGGCTTATGTGTGGTAGCTCATTCAAGTGTGACTGTCGGCATAGAGGGTGACCTTGCGCCAAGGGGACTCTTAGGCTGAGCTCCAAGCGATAGACACCAAAGCTACACCTGAAGGTTTCCTACGACACATGCGAGCCTGGAAGTCCAAAAGCCGCTGGTAAACGTCGTCTCCCTTCGGCTGCAGACGAAGGAGCTCCTGCAGCTGGCTCTGATGGGCAGTTAGGGTGCTGGTTCGTTTCGAGCCTGTTCTGACGGGGTTTAGCATTAAGGGTTCGGGTCGGTCTCCGGAGCAGAGGACTTGGCTGTACAATCGGATCAGATTCTTTTTGCTTATGAATACCACGAATTGCAGTTACCTGACTTGGAAATTCTTTCGGCACCTCGACTACGCCCGACTAAAATGTGTTGAAACGAATCTTCACGTTGACCCAATGTTCCACAAATCCTAAACCCTACAAAGGTTGCCTGAGAACACGGCTTCGGGGTGAGCTGATACTAGGACAGAGAGTCTCAGGTGGTGTTGCGATGTTCTGAGCTTTGGAATGCCTTTTCGTTGCAGGGCTCAGGATGTTGGGGTGTTGGATTTAGGTTCAGGGCTTAGGGCTAAACCGGATATGCCTTGACATACAAGTTATTGGAACCGGTAAAATGTAGCGAGCAAGCGTCCGCAAGGGCATTGGTCGCGATGGGTGTGCGGCAAGAGGGTAGAGGACATGCAAGCTGCTCGGCAGCAACTTTGCCCTGGTTCACTAGGCTCTCCACATACCTGGCTTTCGCCACATCGGAGTTCGGGTTCGGGCCGAGGAAGAGGGCGAGCGGCGAGAGTACTGTTCTGTATACGGCCCTTGAATCATGTATACGATATAAAGCAGTGAAACACTGGATTGATGAAGTCCTATCAAGCTTTCCTGGAACATCTAGGACGCTTGCTCCAGAAGGGGCCTGTTCGGCTTGGGCTTGGACTTGGGAAGGGGTACTACATCACGAAACACAACCCCAAGCCCAACCTATCCTTGAACCCAGTGTAAGGACAGTGGATGTGTGTGGAGGTTTGGTGACTGGTGCAGTCTTGGTCGTGTAAACGAATACCAAATTGTTCCGTCTTGGGCGTGCTTGTCTTCGGTCCCTGCATGGAGCAAAATTTCTGCAAGACCTAGGAACCTGGCTGCAGCCGGAGGGCCTCAGAAGACACTCTGCGCAAAGCATATGCTCGCAAGATAGCCTGGCTTGCCCCACCACGTCGTCCAGGCAGATGGGGCATCGCTGCCCGTATTCTGCCGCGGACTGGGAGTCATAGCCCTGGGCAGGCGCCGCGGCCTCGATTGCAGCAGCTGCCCGCGCGCGCGAGCGCGCCCACCGCGCCATGAGAGCATGTTTTCGTGGAGCCCGAGAGCCCGACACCCCTTGATGATTAAAGCATATGCCATACCTTAAATTCAAGGAACCACTTGTTCGACGGTACGTATTGGGCTCTCTGCCGTTGGGGGCCTTTCCGTCTTTCGCGTCTTCACTCTTTGCGCGCTGCCACCGTCCAGCATTCAGGGGGTCGTTACTGTTACATTGCTGTTTGCATAGTGTCAGAAACTTTGCAGGTTACAAGCCAGACACATCGAGGCATTTCTGGGCTTGAGTGCCAAGGATAAATTTAAACAGCAGTGGAACACATAGTTTAGTAGAACGGCAGTTGCGAACACAGGGGCAATAACAGCAACTAGCCGAGGAAGACGGGATTTACATATGTACGTGCATATATGTACATGTATGTACATGTACACACATATCTGTGCAGGCGTACGTATTTGTATGCCTATCTGCGTATGCGCAAGCATGCGTAAGTATGTGCCCATATGAGTAGGTATGTGTATGTGCCAGTGGGAATTTGAGTATGTGTGTTTGTCATTGTGTGCGTACGTGCATGTGTATGTGTAAGTGTTTGTGTGGGAGCAGGTGACGGCATGCGTGCGTGTGCAGATGTACGTGCAGATGTGTCTGCAAATGTGTATATATATATATACACACATGTGTATATGTGTGTGTGCAGGCATATAACGTGTATGTACATATAATATGTATGTCCGCTTGTATGCATGTAATTATGCATGCATGGACGGATGCATGTGTGTGAAGGCATATGTGTATCTGTATGCAGTTCCATATGTATGTATGTATGTATGTATGTATGTATGTATGTACGTACGTATGTATGTATGTCTGCATGGTTCCATGTATTTATGTATGTATGTATGTATGTATGTATGCAGGTATGTGTTTACAGATGTATGTACGTATGTATGTATGTATGTATGTATGTATGCATGTATGCATGCAGGTATGTGTGTACAGATGTATGTAGTAGTGTAGTGGTACGTAATGTGTTCTAACGTTGTGTAATGCAACTATATATATGTATGTACGAAACATGCTTGCATGCATGCATGTATTACTGTATGTATATTGCATATATACAGATACATACATGTATGTGTATATATATATATATTGGCCGGTTTCTCCCTTTCTCTCTCTCTCTGTCCACATCTAGACAGACAGGGTTCAGGGTTTAGGAAGTTTAGGCCTTGCATACCATAACACATACATGAAAGGAGGAAGAACATAGAATGCAGGAATTCCTGGACAAACCCTAATCGTGAGGAAATTCTGAGAGTCAAGAGTTGGAAATGAACCTTAAGCTCCCAAAGTAATTGAACACGTTTGGTGACTGTCCAAATCAAACGTCCACAAAGGCCACTTGGCCTAACATCTCCTCACACAGAACCTGTAGACTGTGGACTACAACCTCTACTGGGGACCACGGAGTTAGACTGCCAACATTCTACGTACATTTCTTTCCTGTCGGCGGGGTCTCTGAAATCTTCATGTAAAGTAAGCTATTGGGCACCATTAATGCTGCTAAACCCCAAGCCCCAAAATCTGGCTCGGACCACGACCCTGAAGACCGAGCACTGAGCCTGAAGCGCGGGGCATGCATAGTGAGGTTACAAGCAGGATTATGGTTGGGACATCCCGGTATCTCCAATCGGGGTACGCATAACCGCATGTACCACCGACTTAGTTACCAAGTCCCTTGACTCTGAAAGGCCTAACAACCCTAAATCCGACAGCTTGACCTAAAGTCCCGAATGCTGAGCCCCCTCAGCCCCAAGCAGAACCTGAAGGACCTTATTGATTGAACTCTCTCCAAGTTTTTCTCTGCAGGCGCGCTGGCAGGCAAGGCGGTAGAGCAATTAGGAGATAAGGGTCTATTTCAGTGTTGAAAGGGGGGGCTTATGAGGTTAGGGCTAGGGCCATTGGAGTCTCTGATTCAGAGCTTTTTGTGTGGGAGGATAGTGCTTGCAAATCCCACGAGCCCTGGTCCGCCGTTCCGCTCAGACAAGGCGTCAGATCAGCGCGACCTCTCGGCAGGCTTGCGGGTTTTGATCAAAGCTCCCGTAATTTACTTACCAACTTACCACCGACCCGAGAGCAAGAGCATGACAATGAACTGTCGTCTGGAATCCTGTCTTTTCTCCGAGTCCAGCGTCCCCTATAGTCCGGACTGAAGGCTTAACCCCGGGATTCGAACCTTCCAAGTCCCCTGTGAAGCCTCGAAGTATGCCGTAAATCTGCCGTACAGCCGAGTTCGTATTGTGCCAGGATCCAGCATCTCGGGTTCTAATACAAAGGTCGCATGCTTTCTGAATCTCTCAGGCTCACACGACACACCCTCGTCCTCAATCCCCGGTCCCAAGCCTCTGCAGCCTCTAACCCTAACCCCAACCCCGCAAATCCACAACCTAACTCCTAACACTGTACTAAATCCCAACATATGTGGATTGCGACTAGGGTTTCGTAGCCCCGATCTCCAAGTGTCCATATATCTAAGCCCCGAAGGTAGCAATAGGATGTCCTTCGGCCCCCAAGCATATGCCGTTTCAGTAGTTGGACCTATGGTGATACTGCCGATGAACCAAACTCCCCCACCATCAATAATTACGGAATGCACCGTAATGACGTTTTAGAGCTACAAACCTCAGGCTTGGGTGTAGGGTCTGCAGGCTTTATAGGGGTTTAGGGTTTCAGGGGTTCAGATTTAAGGGTTTCGGGAGTTTCGGGTTCGGGGGTTGGGGATTCTTCTTTCTGGGTCTTCGGGCATCGGCCCTAAACACCGAAATGTGCACGTCTGAACCCCTGAACCTTTAGCCCATGTCGCCTCCGATACCTTTGACGCCGCCCCGGAATGAAGGAATCTGAATAAAGCTTAAGTGCTAGAGTGCTTCTTGTAACGTATTGTAAACTTTTCGATTTCAAGGTGTTGGGCTCCGTGGGTCTTAGTCAAGACGAAATACGCGGTTTCGAATTCTGTGGTGTTGAAGGCTCAAGGATTGAAACAAAGGCGTTTCGAAAGGTTTCTGTCAGGTTCTCAGACTCATGGGTTCCGATCATAGGTGGGCCCCTTGAAACCGCTGAAGCTGCCCTTAAATAGCATCCCTCACACCCAAGAAGGGACAACAACTTCAAAATGCCCGAGCAACCTCTAGGATTACAGGGCCCCAAGCAATAGAGTAGGTTGTGGTGTCCATCTTCCAAGAACCGCATCTTTAAGCTATGAGCACCACCATGGGCTTAGGGTTTGAGGCACAAACTTTAGAGCACAAGACCCTCAGCTCTGAATGGCTGATAAACCCGGTCGCGGTTAAGACACATACCTGTACAGGACGAAAAGGGGGAAAAGAAAAGATACCCAAGAGCCACCTAGATAATCACACGCTGCGTCACACGCTCCCTTGCATATGGTGACCTAGGGTTACTAGCGATACTAGGACCGCCCAAACCCAAAGCCCATCCAAACCTCCAAGACTGCGGAACCCTACCATCCCTGACAGAATGTCCCCTAGGATCCCTTCCACGTAGTTTAATTAGTAGGCTACTGTCTTGGGGCCCGATGCCGAAACTCCTGTCTGACTGTAGGAAAGTAGCCCATTATGTGAGCATATGGGCTTCTAGCGCCATAATGCCGACCATAAAGAGGGGTGAGGTCTTAGCAAGCTGGTCCTTTAAACCCTGGGAGGTTCAGGGCTTGGGGAGTAGGATTCTACGGGACCCACCCAGGGATCAGCAAGGCCACCTGGCTTCTTCGAGCATCTGCTCCCACCGCTTCAGGCGATCCTGCATTTGATGATGTCCAAAGCGTACATCGGCAAGCTCAAAGCTGCACCTCTAAACCTCAAGCTAACCCGCTTGGTTTGGCTCAATTTGCGGCCTTCCAGAAATCTCGTGGGGGGAGTTTTGGTTCCGGTTCGGAACTCTACCGCTGCGGCGCTGCGTTCGACATCACATATCGTACAGTACACAAACGCAGCGGTAGACTTCCGGCTTGCAACCGTTATATATATATATATAAATACATACATATGGAAGAACATATGCATATGTATACTCTATACTCTCTCTCTCTCTCTCTTTCTCACTCTCTCTCTCTATAGTTAGATGGATATAGATAGATAGACAGATAGATAGGTAGATAGGTAGATCGTAGATAGATAGGTAGATAGATAGATAAATAGATAGGCAGATAGACAGATAGACAGATAGATAGGATAGATAGATAGACGGATAGATGGATGGATGGAAAGAAATATAGATAGGTATATAGATAGATCGACAGATAGGTAGATAGATCGGTAGATAGATAGTGATCCACAGATAGATACATGGAGAGAGAAAGAAAGATAGATGGATAGACATAGAGACAGACAGCTGGATACATGGATGCACAGATAGACTAAGGCCATGCGAAAGCGTAGGGATATGCTGAAGATGATCATTCCTGCAGCTGCGTTCCGAAGCGTTAAAGCCAACACGAGAGCTCAAGTAAACGCTTAGGCATGTTGGAGTCACTGCTCGAATAAAGCTGTCAGAATCACAAGGTCCTTGGGTGTCAGCGCTGGCCCCTTTTCCAACTCCACCATCTGGTTGACAGTGAGCTTCTTGCCACCCTCCTGCACGCGTGACAACTGGTTTAGGATGCTTGCCAGGATTGTAAGGGGGCTTATAGTTGGTTGCAAACGGCCTTATATGAAGATGTGTATGGGATTGGCAAACGTTTTCGAGGGTGTTCTTATTAGCTGTGTCTTCTGAGTATCAGAATCATGGCAACTGAAGCTACAGACCTTATCAGGAACCCAGACGAGACTAGGAGCTCTCCTATCAGTCTACAAACCAAGCCCAGGAAAGCGGCGGACGTATGCCAAAGCGGCAAGTCTGCGGGATTCATAAAAGTATGGTGCTGCCATAATATTACGTAATACAGCCGCGGCTGCGTGGCATACTATTATTTCCTCCCGAGCTTGCCTAGGCCATCTACACGTAACGTTGACTTTGAGACCGGCTAGATCTCAAACTCCAACACGAACGCCAAAACTCTTCCACATGGTGGTTCTCGTAATACCTTACTAATAACCCCAAACTCTACAAATGCGTCCCTGGAGTTTGCTTCAGAGTTTGGGGTCTGGGTTTGGATCAGGGATTTGAACACAGCGGGTCAGAGTTTGTGTCAGAGTTGGTGGCCAGAGTTTGGGAGAAAGTCTGGGTCTGAGTTTGCGGTCCGAGTCCGAGTCTCGGCCCCAAAAGCCAAACCCTTGTTTGGGTCGTCCTAGTTTGCCGAATATGGAGCCCGAGTCCGAGTTTGAGTTCGGGGGCGCAGAGAGTGTGGGATAAAGTTAAATTAAGCTTTCTCTTCGTCCCGCCATCCATCCCATCTGCCCAAAGCTTATGAACTGGGTGGTCTGGGGTGGAATTGACACGAACGTTCTGCGTGTGTATTGCTATTTTTCCCACCCACACACTCGCGGCTAACTAATCGTAAACCCTAAACCCTAAAACATTCAATCCTGAACCCTGAATCCTGACTTCAGTCGCCCAGCGGCTTTCGTTTCAGACTATATGAAACATACTGCGAGTTGGCAGAGAATGCAAGGACACATTGGCGCCTCTGGAGAACTCAACGGCACTCTGGGGTTTGGTCCCCAAGCCCTAAAACCCTGAACCCCACACCCTAGATACCAGGTCGAGGCAAAACCTCCACATTCCACCTCTTCATGCAGGTCACCTCTTTTGAAATCTGCGAATCTGAGGACAATGCAAGTTTTGCTTGTCTTAGGATTGTCAGGGTACAGCATGTGTGCTCCAGACGTCTTGAATTTGGCGGCAACGAGTGACTTCACCGTCTTAGCTATGCAGGTGAACACTGCGGATGCCCAAAAGCAGGGATTAGACACCTTTCCGCTGGTGCGGAGAGGAGTAGCAGCACGGTAAAACTGTCAAAACTAGTTGCAGGGTGGCATTTCCTGTGCTCGCAGACATATGGTATGGCAGGTTGAATGGCGGCTGCACGGGATCTGCATGTCTTCTTTGACGGTCAGAAGTTGCCAGAGCACAGAAGCCGCCTATAAGTCTAATTAGGGTGGTTGGCCTGCACGGCCGGATTTCAGCACCTGCTCAGGCTCGCATATCGTCTCTTGATGTAATCTGGGCACTCCATCTTCTTCCAGGCGAAGTAGTAGTTGTCGTACTTGCCCGGCCTTGGTCAAGAACTCGGCCAACCAAATTTGTGTTCATGGCGCCCCCACAACCCGTTACGCAAAAAACCGGCCGTCTTCTGCGCTGGCGTTTCCAGGCAACGATCTTCCCAAGGCTTCCCCTCCCCCATCGATCCCGATCCCGCCGTCCTAGCCTCTTCAAGTAGCCTAAGCCCAAATCCCTAAAATGAAAGGCGCCCCGAGAATCTTGTCGATCAGTGCGGGGCTTTCTTGGGGTCAGGATACACCCGCCCTGAAACAACAACGACAAACTGGCACGAAAGATGGTCGCCCAGGCCATAGCTGAGCAGGGAGGCTCCTTCTTTGTTCTTTTCTCTGCCCTATCTCCTTCCCTCCCCTCACCTCGTCCTCCTGCCTTCCCGCGAAAGAGCATAGCTGATTCTTCTGTTGATGCTGCTGGAGTCCAGGCTTATGCATGCTCACAGCTCTACAGTGACTACCGGCGGCACTGATTGAATTTCATTTGGAGTGCTCAGGGATACTGATAAGTAGGGTTATAAGCACTCTGGACGAGGGTCATAACACGGTTACCAGTACCATACTTATGACATACAACCCCACTTCTATCCCTGAACCTCTAAGTATGCAGGATTCCGGATGACGTCAGGTTGCGGACTGGCAAAATCAAAGTGGTGCCGGACACCGAACTTGTTCCTGAGCTGCAGTCCACAACTTCTTGGAGGTTCATGGTAATTTAACTAGGATTAGCTTGGTAATCTCTATTCGCCTCGGCCCCGCCGAAGCGGTCAGAGGTTCTTACAGGGATCTCCTGTTTCCCCTCCTCATCCCCCCAGCGACGGCTCTAGAACTCTCGTCAACGGGCCAACTCTTGCCGCCGGTGAAACTTGTCCGCTCAGAGTCTAGGGCTGAATTGCGTGCTTTTTTAACTTCAACAGTCTCAGGATCCGGAAGCATGCTGACATGTGGTCTTGATGCTTTCTTGTCTCGGCCGGGCCGAGCGAACGACGCGAAGCGTTTACAATTGAAATGTGCAGTCCTACTTGTCAGTATCCCTGAACCTCCACGTAGCAGAGCAAAGGAAGCATCTTAGTTCTGAGAAGCCTCCACGCTTTTGGGTGTGCGTTGCTTGTTACCGGCGGTTCGGCAAATCAGGGGCCCCTTCGGAGGTTTCTTAAATTGACCTTTGCTGTCAGGAGTCCTAATTACTGTGTTGAAGTCCACCTTAGGAGATCCTTCTTGTTGAAACCTCCCTAAACACCTTAAATAACAACCTGTTCGGATCCCATCCTCTCCAAGCTGCGTGGATCCCTGGCGGCCCGGGCACCAGGCTTCGTTGCCCGCATGCGGGCACGTGTCGGCAACGACGATATTCAGCTCCTCCGCGGGAGGACCGGCACGGGTTTTTGGATTTAGGTAGGGTTTGCGGGTTAGAGGGTTTAGGGCTTAAGGGGATGTAGGCGTGTGCCTCAGCAAGGCGTCTCCCTGGTGTCCTTCCGGAAGATGGAAGACCCCTTCTGCGCCCACAAGGGATAGTCGAAGGGATGATACCAGAGGAATTTGCCCCTTGCGCAGGACAGGCAGCCCATGCCTGGCTGGCAGGGCAAAACTAGACCGGCCACGGAAAAGCTTCCAGAAAGCAGGGTGCTCAAGTCCGGCTGCTCATGTGACTGCCATACTTCAAAGCATCTTGTCTTGCAGTGATGGGTCGTGGCTGTTATATCTTGTAGCAGTGGCTGCACTACCTGCGACCCAGATTTATAGATCTACATGTCTCCGGTACTCGGCCTGAAGAGCCCGATGCGTCTTTGGTGCAGTAGTGGCCATCGCCTCACTGATGCAACGCGTGCGCTTTACACCTACTGGGCGAAATTGCAGATCGCCTCCTTCAGGCAAGTTGCCGATGCCATGAGCTTGCATCGCCTCCGCAGATGCCACAGCGTAGAACCCTGGAGCAGCTTGGTCAAAGGGCTCATTAGACCTTAAACCCTAAACCGATGGACGTTGACAACATCTGTTCCGGAACGGGGTAAAGCTCGGGATGTGGAGTCAGCAGGCAGCCGTAGGGCGAAGTGGGCTGAGAAGATCCTTTCAAGATATGCATGAATGTTTGTGAAACGGATTCCTTGACCAGTTTGATCTAGCTGTCTTGACTTCTTTGCTACCCTCCTGGGCCCCAACAGCTTCATCCCGCCCGAAAACCTGAAAAAATATCCAATAAAACCAGGAGGGCTTTCAGCGCCTCGCTCTGAACGCCCAGGTGCTATGGAGCGCACCCGGACATGAAGCATCACTTCACATGAAGTATCCGACGACTGGGAAGGTATATACTTTCTTGTTTACTGCATCTATGATGTCACTTGCCCATCTGAAAGCTTGTCCGGCACATCCAGACAACAGGCCTGTCCCAGCAACGAGTTTGGCAGTGTCGATTGACCCGCAGGAAGCGCAGCAAGTGTCTCCGTAGCGCGTGGTCGTTGCCAGATGGTCGTAGCCCAGCCTCCTGGAAGGGCAATGAGCTGCAACCTGCTACCCAGTGCCACAGTTCAGGGTTTAGGGTCTAGGGTTTCATGCCCGGCTGATGCTTGAAGAACTTCTGAGAACTGCCTTGTCACGTCGTGCAACTTTGAGAGGCTCGGGTTCACGTTGAAGCGCAGCGTGGAATTCGACCAGTATTCCTCTCTGCGCGCGGCGCCGCCTGGGAGCAGGTCCTCCGGAGACGGCCGGGATGCATTCCTGCCACGCAGTCGAGAGCCAAGACCCTTTCAAAGCTCAGGAATCTTAAAGCTCAGAGAGACTCAAAAGATGATTTGTGACTATTTTTGGGAGGACTGCTTTGAAAGTGCAGTCGCCAGTTTATTCTTTCTCCTACTTGGAGGTGCTGCGATACTTATGAGGAGAATACTCTAACTATAGGGTTATAAGACAGGATACCACACTTGCAACCCTATTTGTACCGTAGATGCCCATGAACCTCTAAGCACAATCCCTCAACTTCACCTGTAAGCCTGCTGGAGTTGACCTTGAACCTTGTCCACGGTGTAAGGTTTAACGGATTTAGGGCCATTTAGGGAACTTTAGGGTTCAGGGGGTTTGGAGCTTAGGCCTTCGGCTTTCGGGTTTTATAAGGGGCAGGAGAAAGCACCACTCTCAAGAGGCGTGGGCATGCTTCGGAGCGCAACCAACAATCAAGGCTTAAAGGCTATGATGGGATTGGATCATTCAAGGGTTTAGGACTGCAACCATGCATCAGCGCCATGCAACCTCAGGAATCCTACTTGTCTCATCCTAAACACTACAGAAGCCCTGAACCCTACAACCCTAAATGCTAAGCCCTAGGCCCCTAACACCCAATTTTTCCCTTTGGTGTGGTTTCAGAAACGAAGGGCCCTACTCTAGAGCCCTCAGGCTCCTTGTCATAAGCACCACTCCGAAGAAGGGACCCCTATTTTCAAAAACCACCAGAGGCCTAATAAAGATCCCCCAGTATAATTATAAAAAAACCCTTACGACAACCATCTAATCCCTAATAAAGATCCCCCAAAATTTAGCTATAAGAACCCTTACGAAAACCATCTAATCCCTACATTCGGTGGTGGGAGCAGCGACTCGCGCCTGAGCCTCTCCGAGGTCTCGCCAAGTCGCGCTTGGGCACCCGCCATAAGAAAGGCCAGGATCGCCTAAGAGGATGTGTCGGAACAGGGCTGCTTTAAGGGATCCTTTAAAGGATCTATAAGGATTTCATAAGGGTTTAGGGTACGTAGGGTTGGGGGTGTAGGGTTTAGAGAGGTAGTTTCGGGATTTAGGTTTCAGGATGATCAGATTGGCATAGTGTAAGCTATGTTAAGGATCCCAGTAAGGGTCTAGAGTAGTGTTGTTGGGCGGGTGATGATGGGTGTCGTCGCTTTCGCCTCCTGCGTCCCGCCCTTACCGCACACCCTCAAGACGGCCTCTTCGAAGGTACCTGGCTCCATAGCCGGCAAGTTGTTGTCAGGTGGCTGCACAACAGCACGGGCCAGGTTCATGATCACTCTCAGAAGGTCAGCAGTAGCAGGAGCACGCGGTCACCGAAAGCTTTCATCCCTTCCGAGAGTTGAATCTCTTGTCACTCTTCTGACGCTGTGGGAGGCAGGCATCCGCCTCTTCTCCATAGGCAGCTCACGTCCCCGACCTCCCTTGGTGATGGCCGGGATGGGTACTGCTGTCCAGGAGATTGAAGCGGAGACCGTGCTATCCAGTTCTAGCTGACCGTCGGCATGAACCGGCAGCGCAGCGTTGTCGGTTAAGGGGTGTTGCGGGCTTATAGGATTTATGGCTACGGGTTTAGGATTTAGGGTCAGGGTTTTGGCTTGAGGATCTAGCGCTTACGGTTTAGGAATTTAGGGGGGACTTCAGGTCTGACAGCGCTTAGGGGTTTCATCGTTTTCGGCCCTGGGGCTCACCAGGACAATGGTTCTGGGTTGAAGTCCATGCTTCTAAAGGGCCCCAAGTTTCTAGTCGTATGCCCTAAAGCCCTATAAACCCTCAGCTGTAAAGATGTTTCCGGTAGGGCTGAGGGGTTGGCAAGACAAGCTTTGCATGTAGTTCAACACCGAGGTCCAGCAGCAATGAGGAAGCCAGGGAGCTCCGCGAGTTGCGTGTGGCTGCAGGTGGGAGCCCGGGTGTTTGGGGTACGGGGGCGCGTAAGCTTGAGGGGTTTAGGGTTCAGGGTTAAACCTTGGTTTAGGGTTTACTGTCCTTAGGGCCGAGGGTTCCTTATGATATACATATACTAGAGGATGCCCGAAAACCCTGCTCTAGCGGTCGCGCTGCAGGGACTTGTGTTTGCCTTCCTAGGCGGATTGGGTTGAGGGTTCAAGGTTTTGCAGTGGTCTTCGTTGAAGGTCAAACATTCTCAGCGCCCTGCTCGGAATTGGACATGTCGAAACTCAGAAACCTGGCCTTTTTTGCAGGAGATATCATTGAAAGTGAGCCAGGGCTTCACACAGGCAAATCCAATATCCGTTTGCAGGAAACGGGTGAAAGCTTCACTGAGCCCGCGCCCCCTCTTCATCCAAGGCGCGGTCAGCATCTTGGCCTCAGTCTATGCAAGACCGGCTGCAATGTCTGTGCAATGCGTGCAGCTGCAGGTAATCACGATGACGCCTGAAACAGGCTGTCACAGCACAAGCCTCAAAAGACTGAGAGCGCGTCCATGATGAGCAGCATCCGGTTGCCGAAGCAGGCGTCGTGAACCACCAAGGGGCTGCGGCAGTCATCCACTGAGACTCCGGAGGACAAAGCCTATGACGTAATAACCCCCTAGTGCCACATTGCCACACCGCGTTCTTCCCAACCGAGGCTCACATGTCGCAAAGGAAGCTGGACGTCGGGTCCTTCGGATCTGCGGAGGATGAAGGGAGCTGGCATGAGGGTTTCTGGAAATTCAGGGTCCATAACCTCCTGGAATGCTAAACGCTCAGAAATATATCTGAGAAGAACTCAGGACGCAGTTGCCACCGCGCATTTTCTTCCGAAGTGGCGATAGCTTCTTCATGCATCTTCGCCGATGCCAGAGTGAAAAGTGGGAAAACTAATCCTGGCTGTTTGGCAGGTCCCCTCAACACTGTGACTCGCTTACCCACTTCAGAATGTACTGTGCTGGAAACTCTATTCAAGCTCGGCCGAGACACCAATATGAAACAGGGGAAAGCCAACCCACCATTCAAGGTCTCAGCCGTCATGACTCCTAATCCCTCACCCACCGACACTTCCCGTATTTGTGAAATCGGGAAGGATCGGCAAAGCCACGGACTCTGGCAAGGTCCATTGACGACTGCAAGTGCCTTCCTGCTCGTTGCGATCCGTTTACTCCTCGCCACAGAAGCAATTCCTGAGCTGTTCTTGCAGGGCCTCCTACAAACGTACTTTGTGTTCCCTTTTCAGACTGTACTATGCTGGATACCATACTCAATCACGGCCTAGATGCTACGATTCCGGCTCCCACCAGCATGATCCGTAGCCGCCCGGGCATCGTGGTAAACAGTCATACTTGCAATATGCCTCCAAGTCGTAGAACCCTTTTTCTCCTTTCTTGGTCCCTTTGTTGCCACAGTAGCAGTACCACCAATGCTTGGCGGACGTCTCCCTCAAATCCACAGCTGCGTTGGCGTTGGTAACATTGGTCACCTGTCTTAACGGTTTCCTTATGAATGTCTCCTGGCGGACACGTCTATCTGCGCCTTCTACAGGTCCCAGTAGTCAAAAGGAATGAATTCGCTTCGCTGCAAACTGCAGCAAGTAAGAAATCCTTTAGAGCAGACCCGAAACCATCTACCCTAAAGCCGTAAATCCCAAAAGCCGAAATCCTAGGCATCCCAAACCCTGTTTAAGCACTTGAACCCTTCAGGCACCACAAACCTCCAGTTTTCATGCAGGCATGTAAACGGTAAACTCTATGCACATACACGTACGTGTCAAACTCAATAAAACAGAAAGCTTTACCACTCCGGCGAAACAAAGCTCCATCGAGCCCTTGGAGTTGCGTTGGTTTGGGGTTGGGGGCTGACAGCGCTTTGGACTGGAAGATCAAGATCTGAACGGGAGTAGTAAGACCCTCCATACAAGGAAAGGGATCCTGATTTTCTGCAGCCTCAGGGGTTCCCTTGCTCAAGTCCCAAGCCTGACGGACAGCGGTGCACAGGCCCATGAGCGCCCAAAGAAGCCTGAACTTCCTGGGCCGTGGGCTAGGCATAAATAAACTTTCCTCAAATATGCGGCACGAACATTGAACAACATGATTAAGTCAGCCTGGGAGCAGCATGCGGCAGGAAGCGTTGATCTTGACAAACGACAGGCAGACTTTGAGCCACAAAGAAGCTTCTTGCGAATCATGCCATGAGAAGAAACAGTTGCCTGTATCGGTAGAAACTCTCACGCCCAAACCCCAAACCCGACATTGCAAGCGCGACGGCTCACCTCAACTGGCTACCGCAACGGCAGGCGCCTGCATTTCTGCCTTCAAGGCACGCAGCTCCCGCTTCTCCATGATCTCCTGCAGCAATAGCTCAGCGCTTTCAGGTCGAGGGTTGCTGTTTCGACAGCATGTGACAGCTGCAACAAGAGTTGATGCAGCTACTGCTGTTGCCACTGTGTGGCAGCTACTAGTCTCGTGCTCGTGGCCAAGTGCTTTCATGGGATTCCGTTGTAGCTGCAGCTACATGGCTGCATGTATACATCTGGGTTTTCGGAATGATATCGGTTCCTTAGTTGTGGGATAGGGTCTTCGATTGGTATTCCTGCAGAGCCAACAGTCTTGAAACATGGTGTTCTGAAGGTCTGTATTTGTCAGCATCAACCTTATATATGCATCTACAAAGGAAGATCTCCACACCATTTTACACTCCTAACCCCCTAACGCCCTCAAATTTTCATAGCCGCTTTGATCCGAAACCTTAGATGTCTACACCCCTAAACTCCTAAGACATCCCTAAACCGTAGAACCTTGAAGCCTGCCTCCTCCTCATCCAACTCCTCTTGCGTGTAGACCACGTCCTGCTTGCAGACTTCAGAGCCCCTTTCAGTATGAACCATCCAGTCTAAAGGTGTATGGGGAGGATCGTAAAGGGGTTTAGTGGATGAGTGTTCCAGGCTTTGCGGTGTAGGGCTACGGGTCGAAGCTTACTTAGAAATCCAGGTACGTGTAGCCTGGGTTACTGTACTACCGTCGACGAGGCAGAGAATGGGAGCCGACAGGTGGTAGATCCTGAACTCCAAGATAGGAACACCTACTTAGTAGGGCCGCAGCATTGCACGTGCCTCTAAGCAGGAGGTCTTCAAAATATTAAGCCCCTGAACGCTCCTACACCCAACAACCCAAATCCTACATGACTAGAGTCTAAACCCAAGAGCAAAACCCACAGGACTCGAAACCCCTTGACACGACATCCCCAAACACCCAAACCCTGCAGGACTAGACACACCAAGATCCCCACTCCCCAGGACTAAAGCCCTAAACGCCAAAGAATCAAAACCTAGAGGACTAAAGCCGAGACTCGAAATCGCAACGACCCCAAACCGTGCAGGACTAAAACCCTGAACCCGACATCCCCGAGAGCCTAAAGTTCTTCTCTACTGAAGCCGCTAAACCCCAAATTCCTAAGCTCGAAGCCCTCTATAGAGTCCACACAAGTACCCATAGGGCCACTGACCGCCTCGTTGGGATATTGGCGGCTCTTCTTGGGAGGAGGCTTTCGCCCAAAGAAGCTGCGGGGCTTCGGCACGTACCTCTGGCTTGCCACGGGCTGCAAAGAGGGAAACTGTCAGATGTCTTCCTACTGTATGCTTGATAGTTGCTCATTCCAGGTTGGAGGCCGAAAGGGGCTTCCAAGATACTTGGGGTTTGGATTCCATCTAAAACTTGACCCTTCTGGGTACTCTACACTCACTAGACCCCAGTTTGGCTTCTGGCAAAACTGAGAGAGAAAAAAGTACTTGAAGATCAGTTTTTGAAGGTACTACTGCTGCAAAGGGGTTAGTTTCCAATACTTCCTGTTCGTGTGCCTTCGGTCCCCAACAAAAAATGATTCCCTGTGGGCTGGCTCGCCCAAGCACTGCGGTTTAAGGATTAAGGGAACTGCGCTTTTCAGAACAACATGTAGTATAGAAGCATTTCAGAAAGGAAAGAACCCCTAATACAGACCCCAAGCAATGGGATCTGCAAGCCCTGAACGCAGCAAGGAGTCTTGCTAGGTACAAGCCCCAAACAAAACCATGTAGCGGCCTCATTGGATCGTTAAAAATCCCCCAAGAACATTGTAAACAATTATTCCCGAAATCTGCGACCCCCCCTCACCGTATGCACTGTAGTGCTTGAAATATCTTTCTTAATCAGCAAACCTGAAAGGCCAAATGCTTGCCAGTTCACGGTTCATGGGTAAGCTGGTAAAGAAGTGTCAGAAGTGCAGCCAGCTCAGTCTAAGCCTGCTACATTACAACTACAGCAACTGCCATGAAGTTGGAAACCACAACGCATAGGCAATGCCTGCAGTAGCTATGATCATTAACCATCAATGCTTGTCCTTGTTTCCAACTTTTGGAGCTTACCGTACAGTTACTTGTGGCTGCGCTACCTAACTTGAACCCCTACTTACAGGTACCTTGAACTTCCCAGCAAATGGTTTTGGGCTACGACCACCAGGACCACCACGTCCAGGACGACCACGACCATCAGGAGACTACGAGGAGACTGCGGGGAGACCATCAGGACCAAGCCGTGTGTGCTTCCCCCCCGCATATATTGGATGGATTCAGGGTGACGGACAAAAGGCTTCCCCAAAGCACTGGCGGGACTCAGACATGTCGAGGCCAAGAGGTGTCCCGCACAATACCGTGTAAAATGAATTCGCCTTTCCGGAGGCCGGCGACCGAGGGGATCTGTGGAAATAATGGGACAAGCTATGCACCGTACCACAGCGGAAGCCGCGCATCCAGGAACTAGCCAATCCTCCTGCCCCTGCAAAAATTTGAACTCGGTGGTGTGTGTTTGGATTTTGATGTAAAGCGGGAGCCCAGTCAAGCTACTGAGGCCCTGTATATCATCCACGCGGACTTTGACGTGTCTGGTTGTGTCATCGCAGTAGCAGCGTAGTAGTAGTGGTAGTAGTAGTAGCAGCAGCAGCAGCAGCAGCAGTAACACAAATGGTTGTGAATGTGCGTCATTGCTCTTTCTCTCGCGCCGATGTCAACAGGCTCACACAATTGCATGCATTGAGTGAATGTCGTTGACATAAGCGAGCAGTGGTTCAGGTTGCAAAGCTTCGCAGCCAGAAACTGAGAAGCTGAAGCTTTAAAAACAACCCCGGGTAATTACCGCTGACTGGCCGTGCATTTCTTCCATCGGGTCTGCATGTCCATGAAGCCCGAGTGCCGGGGATCGAACCCAATCCTGAATCAAAAACATAGACCCTACCTGTAGCCCGAAAGCTTAATTTTTCTACCGTTAAAAGTACAAAGCAAGGAAACCATGATAAAGAAGCCCAGGACGAACTTGTTGTCATGATTGTCACAAGCAATGGAATCATGTATCATCAACGTCATCACGCTCTTCCGGTGCTCCACCGCACAGAAGATCATTATGGTTTTTTGACAGGAACTCCAACAAGCTAAGCTCGAACTGATTGAAGATCCTACAAATGAGCTAACTGACAACTAACTGTACTATAGCGAGCGCAAGGAAATCGATCCATCACACCATGACTAGGAGGCACTTGTCGCGGTAGTCCCAAAACACTTCGGGCAGCTCGTTCTGCCAGGGGCTTCAAGCTGCTACACGAGCACGGCTTAAGACCTCTTTTCTGCATACACTCCATGCCACCTGAGGCGTGCTTACATGACATGCTTTCAGGTCTTATATGTAGGAGATTCTCCTGTATCAGTATGTTCACCAAGTTCGTTTCACTTAGAACCATCATGGAAAAGATCATGTAGCAATCCCCTACACTCCAAACCCTCTGCCTTCAGCGCATACATGGCATCCTCGCGCTGCTCCGTGGCTATGAGGCCAAGCAGCATCGTGCCAAACTGCGGGTCACAAAGCTCAGTAAGATATTTTACAGTAGAGGCTTAAGCTGTAGGTCTATATATATATATATATATATATATGGTCAGCCCCCCCCCCATGATCTACCTCCGTCTTTTTTGGGTATGTAAAACACATAGAAACCACCGTAAATACCGATGACTTTGCTGTTTTCAGAAACTCACAAATCCACCCAAAACTGTGTCACAAAATCGGTGGTTCGGA